GACGATGACAATAATCAGAGACTCACCTGCAGGCATTCAGTAAATTATGCTGCTTTTGAAACTTTTCACCTATTAGCAGACCAGGAAACAATGATAATAACTGATAATATTGCTAACTGCATCCACATGAACATGCACACAGGTAAAATCCTAACACATACCCTTACAGTAGAAGGAAAAATAATGTTTGAAATGGGGTCAGAATGAGCTCTAAAAATTGCTTTTGTCTTAATAATTAATAAAAATTCATTAAAATACAATTATAGAAGGATATTATATGTAAAGCATCATGTTCTGACTCCTTTAACTCAAAGAGTAATAAATAAACATCCAACAGAGCAGGAATTTTCATGACTTTACCTCATTTCTGCTTAAACCCCATCATATATGAGGTCATGAGACTTGCTGATTAAATAAAAAGGACCACAGAACTATCAGACTCAGTATGTGGCTCAATATTAGAATTGTAGAAACCTTCATTTTTCCAAAGAACTTGAAAACAGATCCCCACAAGAGGGTTGATCATCTGCAAAAATCCTCCTGAATGTGGCCCCGTATGGCTCAGCCATGAAACCACCAACCAGCAGTAAATTACTACCATTCATGATGTCAACGGCAAAATTATAATAATACCTCATGTAACGTAACCAAAGTTTGTTTCCTGAGCCACATGTCAGCAGTTAATATAAAAAGCGTCCCTCTGTAGATCTGTGGATCATAGAAAACCATCATTCTGAAGGATCTAACTACAGCATCCACTGGAGCCTCATAGAAATCTGGAAATAATGTTATGTTTAAAGCTTGGTTGGCAGTTAATCTCAACTTGAACCCAAAAGTCTTGACAAATATGCTAAAGGAAATGGCATCTCCCAATTCAAAGGTAGGACACAAATCGCTAAAACAAGAAGTTTTATCAAATCAAATCAAATTTATTTGTATAGCGCTTCACAATAGCCAAATGTTACCCAAAGTGCTTTACAACAAAGCCATAAAACAATACATAACACATATAAAACATACAGATATAATTAAAAGTGCTGTAGTGGTGCAGCGCTGCAGGACATTAAAAGCCTTCCAGAGGTGAATAGAAAGGAGCACACAGAAAGAGGACATCTAAGAGATGAAATTATCCTAGTCAGAATTAAATGCTAATTTAAAAAAGTGGGTTTTAAGCTTTTTTTATTAAAAAGGCTGAAGTCAGTAGTGGTGCGGGTGTCAGGGGGTAGCATAAAGGTTCAGTTAAAACTCAATAAAAATGAGCCAAATTTAACGCCTTTTAAAAAACTGAACTGAAAATACTACAGGCTGCTGAAATCTGACCAGCTTCACCACCTCAGGGCTCTATCTCCATCTAATCAGCTTCAAAGAACGATGAACCCGAGTTCTCATCAGTCAGGCTCATCCAGCTACTGGAGGAAATGTGGCTCCGAGGAAGCCAATCATTTTCACCTTTTTTGGGGTTGCCCAGTTGTAACTATATTCTGGCAAAAAATTTGCACAGAACTAAGAGTTATATTTAGATCAAAAACTGATTTTAACTGGGAGGAACTTCTTTTCGGAATATCACACTCAATATCGACAAACACAAAGACCAAATATTTATTTGGAATACTGAGTGTAGCAGCCAGGAAAGCAATCACCAAGAAATGGCTAAAACCAGGCAGCCCATCCATCGAGGACTGGTATGGTGTCATCTACAAAATATTCCTAATGAAAAGAATTACTTTTTCCATCAGGTTACAGAAATCAAAATTTGAAGACAATTGGAATTTATGGAAAACGTACATTTCTTCAAGGTGCCCTTCCTTTATCTAATTAATTCAATTTTCAATTATTTTCGATACTTTGTCTATTTAATTTCAAACAACCCCCTTTACTCTTGACAAAAATGAAAGAACACCTCAGGTTCTATGTTTGTACCTATGTTCCATGGGCGAGCTGTACTGAATAGAAAAACAGATTGTACAAAAAGGAAAAAAAAATGTTTTTGTTGTAATATTGTAACCATCTTTGTTATGATGAGGTGGTATTTCAATAAAGAGGAAAAAAAAAAAAAAAAAAAGAACAATGAACCCTATTTCCTGCGGGTCAATCATTACAGCTGATATTACAACACAAGTCATTTTTTTGGGAATGTCCTCTGTAGAGATGTCCCGATCCAGGTTTTTGCACTTCCGATCCGATACCGATATTGTTTTTGGACTTCAGATCCGATACGATACTGACCGATACCAGCCTATCCGAGCATGTATTTAAGTTTAAGTTAAAGTATTTAGCCTTTGTTGTAAGACTCATGTTGAAAAGGGTTTTAGTACGCTTGATAACATCTAGCCAGCTAAATTAGGTGAGATTGAATAAAACACAATGATTGGTAACAACAAGCTTATCTGTTTATTAAGAGATAAACACAAACTGGACAAAATTATGAATAGCAATCTGAAATTGCACAGTGAGCAGTAAAACCGTAAACAGTTAAAGGTGCAAGTATTACTGTAAGTTTTAATAAAAATGCAAAACAGGGGAACACTGGCGCAAAAAAGGGGGAATGGATCGTTTCAATCGGCGAAACTGGAAAATACGGACCGGATTTTTAAAAAAAAACTGGATCGGCAGTCTGGATCGGCATTTTACATGCTTTGCCGATACGCATTTTTTTGCCAATATCGGCGTGCCGATCCGATACGTGGATCGGATCGGGACAAGCCTAGTCCTCTGCCAACCTGAGAAGCTCTCCGGCCATCAACACCTTCTTCTACTTCTTCTTCCAGCTGCTTCCCTTAGGGGCTCCCTAAAGCCCGGCGTACACTGTGCGATTGTCGGGACGGTTTCAGCCTGATGGTGTGTCGTGAGTGGTGTAGTATACAGGGGGTAACGATGGGTGATCAGCCTCTCATGACTGCATCCCGATCAGGAATCGTAAGGTCAGGAGAAAAATCAAACGTTGTTTCTCCCGACCGTCGTGGGCAAATCGCTCAGTGCACATGCGCAAACAAAGATTCTTCTGTAAACACAGCAGCATGGCAGGAATGCAATGAGTGAAATGCAGTTCTGTCTGTAAAGTTGACAGACCGTAGTGGCCACGTTTGCTCAGCCATGTCTTTGTCCAAATACGTCATCGCCTTTTCTTTTTAGGGCTTTTAGCACAAAATTGCACAAATTGCAGGCAGTTCACTACAGTGAGCTTAATGCCCCCCTTCTATTTGTTTGGCTTCCAGATAGACGAGTCTGAGCAGCTCCATCTCACTGCGGAGCTCAGTCCCACATGGTTTTTAGTCGTACAGTGTGAGCAGGTAGATCGCCTCAGAGCTACGGGCCGAACATAAATCGTGAGCTGTGTTTACAGTAGCTGCGTGCAATGACACACAGTGTATGCCCGGCTTAAACAGACCATCTGCCTCCATCTTGTTTTCAGCATCCCCCCACTGCTCCACCAACCCCTGAAAAACCCTCCTTCACATCATAAATCTAAATCTCTTTGGTCGGCTCTCCCCATCCAAATTTCTATACCTGCAATTTCTTCTTCACTTACGGACCCAGACTCCACCCCTTTCATTACCCATAATGCATGTGGCTTACTCTTTCTCAATTCACGAGAACGCGAGTACGTACTAAGATCGGACTTGACGAGAACACAAGCACGTATGTGTATTGGAACAGAAGCGTACTCGTGACGTCATCACATGCAACGTTCTTTAGCATTTCTTTAACAGTCAAAACTTTTTATTCCCTACACAAAACATTTTGAAAACAATATTTTTAATTTCTAAAGCTTAAAAAAACATTTTTTAAAAATTACCGAACCGTGGGTATAAAACTGCTGGTCACTCTGGTCCGCTCAATGTCGGACTTTTTTTTTTTATTTCGCAGTAACTCTGTAAACAGGCCACACAGGGAGGCTTAAATGTATAAT